TAAGAAAAGAAAGTATTGGTCATGGCCTTCATGCAATTTGTTCTGGGTTTCTCTGGTGATGAAAGAAGAATGAGAGTTTATATAATACTGTTAACTTTGAAGAAATAAGGCTCTAATTAGATTGCTCTACCGACATAATAATTTTAGTATATTTTCTTTAGGCAGGTAAGACATCAAAATGAGCTCTACTTGGTCAAGAAATCAAGATCAAGAGGTATGGCGCTTTCTTCTGAAGGTGCCCATAATGACATCTTAGATTGATTGCATTTTCCATGGCAACCGACTCATACCAGAAATTCGTGCTTGTTCAGTTCCAGTTTTATGGTTCAATGAAGGCTCTTTTGGCCGCTTTGATGTACCAGCTTGGGATTTCTGTGAGGGATCAACCAGCACTCTGGTCTCCTGCCTACTTTTTTCTTTTACAATACAACCATGGAAGCGTTTCTGGGTATTCTCTTTTTTATTTTTTATTTTTTGAGGAACCGTCAAAAGTATGGGTTCATACACAAGTTGTATCTTATGTTGCTTCTTTCGAGCATACGGTTACCAAAACTTAAATTATATACATATTTTATTGAATTGTTTTCTGATTGTTGAAGGATATGGTTGATTATGAAGTAGAATGTGAAGCTTGAGGTTTGAATTTCCAGTTTCTTGAATGTGATGTAAAACAAGGTGGTGATTATTCCCTTTAAACTGTTTATGCTGTAGATATGTTGGACCCCACCTACTGTGTATGCTGTATATCATTATTGATGTCGTAATTATTTAATAATTTTAACTTTTTAATTGATTGCTATATGTTGATATATATATATATCCAAATTTAATTTTTTGTCAACTACTTTTACAGCCTTTTAAATTGTATTATTTAATAATTTTTAATTAAATTATTTGTCAAGAAAAATAAATACTTTTTTGAACATTTAACCTTATTATAATAATATAATAATACTGAATATTATATCGCATGAGAATTAAATATTTAAATATTACAATTCTTATATGTTTACTAAAGAGATAATGTCCTAAGTATTTTTTTATTGTTTGGAATTCGGATCTTGATCGTTTTGATATGAAATAATTAATAAAAAATTAGTAATTTATAATAATTCAGTAAAAATATCAATACTTTATTATTAATATAAAAATTAAATAATTATAAAAAACATAAAACGACCGATGGAGCATGCTTTTCATAAAATCCGAATGCTAATGCAGGTAATGATTTTGGGATAGAAACACTAGAATATAACACAACAAAGCAGGTAAAGATTTAAAAATTGAGCCAATTAAATTATAATAGCATCCTGAAATTTCAAGGTAAATTAGTGAAGGGTACTGGGCAGTGTATAGATGAGAAAATTATAAAAAGAGAAATAAAAACAAAACTAGGCAACAAGGAGACTAGCAAAAAAATAATTATATATGCGTATATATATACTAGTGTGCATACGCAGGGGAGGAAATATAAAACAAAATTAGGCAACAAATGGAATAGCAGAATAATAATTATATATGTGTGTGCATATATATATATATATATATATACTGGTGTTCATATGCAGGGGAGGAAATACAGAAACAAATTAGGCAACAAGGGGAATAATAGAAAAATAATTATATATGTGTATAGATATATACTGGTGTGCATACGCAGGGAAGGAAATATAAAAACAAAAATTAGGCAACTAGGGGAATAACAGAAAAATAATTATATATGTGTGTGTGTATATATATATATATATACTGGTGCGCAATCGCAGGGGAAGAAATTATAGAATTTAGAGGGTCGGTTTGTATGGGAATAAAAGTTAATAATAGGACAACATAGCAAATAAAGGAAAACAATTTAGTTTCAATAAAAAAAAGAAGAAAAAAATAGATTAGAGAGGAAAGAGGGAAGCACATGTTTGAGTATGACAACAGAATAAAATGAATGGAAAAGGCTGTGATATATTGTCGAATTATATTACAATATGCAAAGTTGACGAGTATACTCTTTAATCAGTTACCATTGAGAGAGGGGTGTGTGGGTGACTGGATTAACGGTCAAGATGAGATTAGTTATGCTTTCACGTGTGGCAGATGGATGATTTAGGTATGAGTTAACTTATGTATTTTAGAGTCTCTTTGTACTTAGAAATGGTATAATTATGATCATTGTTATTGTACTTTTGACATAGGTGGGTGTGTATGTGGCCATTTCGGTCGAGAGGTGAATATACAAGAGTGTATACAATAGCCTGTGGTACTAAGTCCACGGCGAGGTGGGGTGTGTGTGTGTGGTTGTATTAGCTGAGTTTGAGCCCTAGTTGGTGGTGGTATCGAATGATATACGTTGATGTGTATTGGGGTTTGTGTCCATGTGTTTGTGGAGTTACCAATTTATTTTTCTCTCTTAATATTGGATATAAACAGTATGACACGTTAACGAAATCGAAAGAAAAACACTGGAGATGAAAATCAAATGTATAAACGGGAATAGGGTAATATACGTGTGTTGAATATAGGTCACTATGTTAAAGTTAGAATGCTTAAAATTGAAATATATTGTGAAGAATACTATATATAATCTATGTTAGAATATACATAAGGGTAGGAGCTGTACTAATTACTGATATAAAGAAAGGTAATAAATAATTCTTACTTAGTTTTTAACTCACCCCCTTTTTTATATATTTTTACAAAACAGGAAAATCAACCCCCAGTACAAGATCTAGTAACACAGTAAACAGACATTTAAGGCAACAAGAACACTAAGGATCACTAGTTGGCATGGATACTATTTTTTTCTTCCCTTTCACACTGATACTCATTTAATTTCATGTTAATATACTAGAAACTTATATAAGTTTGATAGTTGATGTTTTGGAGGGTTAAAGGGAAGTGACACATTGTAACAAGAATAGACATACATGATGAGAATTTGATAGGTTGTATTGACACAGGTTGACCCCCTACGATCTGGCTATATACTGGGGAGATTGCAAGTGATATATATATATGAACTTTAAA